GCCCAGCCCAGCCCACACAGCTTCAGCCAGGCCGGCCGGCCGGGCGGCCCTTACCCAGCCTCGGGAGGTGGTCCTTGTAGTAGAAGCCGCCGGCCGCCTCGCCCACACACTTGAGGTCCACCTTGCCCTTGTGCCCCACACGGTACACGTTGGTGGTGCCATCGGCCCACGTGACGCTGGCCACGCTCCGGCCCGTCTCCACGTCCCAGCCACGGATGTCCACCACTCGGCCTGGCTTCCCGTCCCCTCCTGGAGACAGTGCCCCACCGGCCGGCTAAGCCCGTGCCATGAGGCACAGCCACAGCCAGTCCAGCCCAGCCCCCACCTCCCACCTGGACCCACTCACCGTCCTGTGAGCCCCACTCCCAGTCGGGGCCCCGCACCACCTTGGCCCCCTGGAAGATGCCCCTCAGAGGGATCCTTGGGAGGCCCTGGCGGGGACTCAGTGTGACCCTGCAAGAGAGTGTGACCTGGGCCATGCACGGTGGCAGTGACGGCACCGGCCTCTGCCCTGCCCAGCCTCGCCCCCCGCGCCCAGGGCCCAGGACGGCTGGCCCAGCAGTTCTGGGCCCTGCACACTCGGCCTGGAGCCTGCTGACCATGTTCCTCCAGGGGCCTCCCTGATGCACCCAGGCCCCCCTAAGGGCCCGGTCCAGGGAGGGCCAGCACGGGCAATGGAGGAAGGGAATGCAGGTGCCCAGACAGCTGACCCTGCGCTGCCTCTGGCCACATGTGGGCGTGTGAGTGTCAAGGACACAGGGAACAGGGAGGGTCTCTCTGGGTGCCCCCAACCCAGCAGCCTTGTCCCCAGCGTAATCTCGCCCCCCGCCCGCCCCCCGACCACAGCAAAGAGGCTCCCAGCCAGACCACAGCTCCTGCCCCGTGTGCCTTGGGGCTGGCCCAGCGTGGGCTGCCCACTGCCAAGCCCAGGACCTCCACGGAGGATGCTGGCTGCAGGGCCACACAGGCCACAGGCCACCTCAGTGCCCGCCATGGCTACACTGGGGAGCCGTGCCTGGCTCTGGGGGTGGCACCAGGACCATGGCACCACCTGCTCAGTGGACATGGTCGCCTTCCCCAGTGGACGGAGGCCAGAGTGACCATGACTCGGCCACTCTTCAGGGAAATGGCCCAGGAAGGCCTGCCCTGCCCCAGGGGAAGTGAGCAGAGGCAGCTCTGGTCCTGCGGGACGAGGGCTGTCGGTGTCGGAGGCGCTGGCCAGGGTCGCCT